CACCTATACTTGATTCAAGGAAAATTCGAGATATTTCCATAATCCATAAAAAAACTAACCAAACAACTTCAAACTACGAATTGGGACTCTGATTCCTCATGAGAGGATACATAGGCATACGACTTAAAAACTGTGGCGAGTTTCCCTGATTAATACTAAAACCATGTTTATAAACCTTTAACCTAAACCCTAATTAAGGCGAAGTCCCTCAAGAAGATCCATATGCTCTTACATGATTCAGACTCAGAGGCTAATCAAGATTGAGTGTGTGGGATAATTTTTATATGCTATCTGTTTTAAAAAAAAATAGAAAAACAAAAAAAGGTGTGTTTGTTTTCTGTTTTGTTGAGTCAGTCTTATAGAGTCTTGGTTTCTTTTGTTTTATTTTTTTTCCTTCATCTAGGTTATCTCTTTGAAGAGACTTAGTTTGGTTGGGTGAGTCTGTTTTTTTCTTTTACCCTTAGCTTGTTCCTTTTTGAGTGAGTTCTTTTTTTTTATTCTTTCTTTTGAGTCGGGTTTGGTATAATTGGTCTTGTATCAAGCATAAAGTCTATATGTTTTCTGTCTTTAGTCAGTTTTGAGTCCTTCCTTGTGTATCTTGAATCAATTCTTGCTTCTATTAATTCTTAGTATGTCAGATTCTTTTCACTCTATTTTTGTCAATTTTTGGCTAAAAGGGGGGAGAAAATGTGTTATTGAGTCTAGTCAAGTGTTGTTTGCTTTATGCAACACTTTAGGTTTGTTTGTGTCTGTCTATCTTGTTTTTGTTGTTGTTGCTACTTCGGTTGTAGCTTATGCAGGATGTTCTATATGATGTTAAAACATCATGTTTATTGTGTCTTGTGGTCTGAGTTATGAGCATTGTTGTGTCTTGTGCTCTGAGTTATGTGTGCTACTTCTGCTACATGTGCTTCTAATGTGTTGTGTTTTTAGGGGGATTTATCTCTCTGTGTCAAGAATTAGTTCTGTGTTTGAGGGGGAGTAATATCCATCTTTTTCCTCATGTACAGAGTTTACATGATCAACATGTAGGCGATGTTGTGTAATTTATGTATCTTTGATACATTTCTGTGCAGTTTGGTTTGTGGTTTTATTCCTCTATAGTTTTATTCCTCTCTCCAGATTTTGTTATTGGGTTTTGGTTATTTTAAACAAAATTTGCCAAAGGGGGATATTGTTAGTTCCATGTCTTTATGGTTGGCTAAATTTTGGCTAAGCATGATTCTGAACATGGTTCTATGTTATTGTTGAGTAAGATATTGCAGCATCTTTATCAACTTCCATAACAATTTTATTGTTATGTGTTTTCAATCAGATATCGAAATCAGATATCATGACATCTTGATCTAGTACTGCAGTACATCAAACAATGTTGTTTTAAATCTTGGCAAATTTGATTTGATTCTAGAATATTTCTTTTAGATATGTTTCAGTAAATTTCATAGGTCAAGAAGATTTAATCTGGAACATGTTTTATATCTCCAGTTGTGCATTAGTTAATAAATTGGGCCTTGAGATAATTTAGGAAACTTTGTATTGCGTGTTCCAAGATTTAAGGAGATTTTGTTGCACAACAGATACAACTTTCAACTTGTGGATCAAGAAATATCTTATGGATATTTTGAAGCCCGTGGATTGAAGAAGTGTATTTAAAGAGAAGACATAATATAATGTAACTTAAGTTTTCAACAATTGTAAAATTAGGGGAAGCATAAGTCTTAGGTTTTGAGAGTCTCTTGTGTATTATGTGGGCTATCAGTCACCCTTGTATCTTTTGATACTTGTGGTCGACATTATGTTCTCACTCATTAGCCCTTAGACAATGAGTTGAGTATTGTTCTTGGATGAAGATTTTAAGAAAATCTAAGTATTGATCTTGGTCAAGTGTCTTGGCTAATATTTGTAATGTAAGTATAATCTTCTACTTGTAATGTAAGTATGATCTTCTACTTGTAATAGAAGTATGGTCTTCTACTTGTAATGGAAGTATGCTCTTCTCGTTGAGTTAAACTCAATACACTAATTGGAATTGGGACTGTTAGATATTACAGAGGTGATTTAGGAAGTGAGATGGTGATTTCTCATATTTATGGAGGACCTAGGTAGAAGTTGCATTGGGTAGGGATTAGGTGAAAAGTTGTAAACGAGGGAGTTTAGCCTTGAACTAATACTGCTGATAGTGGATTTCCTTCCTAGCTTGGTAGCCCCCATATGTAGGTGAGTTTGCACCGAACTGGGTTAACAACTCTATGTGTTATTTATCATTCTACAATTTAAGTTTCAGTATTATGTGATAATGATGAATCTGTTCAGGATATCAAATCAGATGTTGTAACATTTATCTTGATATTGTTATGATGGTTAAAAGTCAGTATTAATTGTTCCCTGTACCAGAGAAATTTCACACATATATAAACTAATTTTTGTCTCTCTATCTCATAACTTGAAAAAAAAATGTGCATAGCTTGCAAATACATTGTTGTATGAATATTCACAATTTTTTGAAACACAAATTTCTATCTCATTTCAAACTTGAATAAAATTTTTTATTGAGTTAAATTTGTGAGTGTTTGAACAAGTGAGTGAGATTCTTTTTGAAAATCATCATCTTCTACCTCTAGCCAAAAAAACATTGTGTGTATTTCGATTTCAACTTTAAGAGAGATTGTGAAAATCTATCGTGAAGAGGTTCATTAGTGTTCTAATGTGAAGTGAAGATTTGCTTTCAAACTGAAGATTAAATTTTGTGTTTGGTTGTTTTGGAGATTGATATCCAGTGAAGAAATAAAAAAGAAGTTCTTCTCTAAATGGGAATTTTTATAGGATCGAATGAAGATCGCCACATATGAAATTTTGGAGTTTCAAGTTCCTTAAACACTTCGAAGACTCGGTCAAGGGAATTTCGGTAGGATCGAGTGAAGATTATTGCAAATGAAATCTTGGAGTACTTTGGTTCTGAGAGGGTGAGCTGATTCAAAGTCAAGTGAAGATCTTGAGGAGTTGAAGTCTAGTGAGTTGTGTACAATTAAATAAAAATCAAGATTGAGGTATCAGTTGCTTAGGAGTTAATTTAGGTTTTTAATTTATTTGTGATTATCTATTGTATCAAAAGACAACAAACTTATAATATTATTCAATTAATAAAATCATGTTTAAACATCTCGTTGTGAATTGAATTTGATTAATATGTACATTATTTGTTAGTAACTTTATCATTCTAATTTTCAATGTATTTTCTGGTCATTTGAGTAAATTGTGTAATTAGTTCACAATGCATCTTTCATAAACTTTCATCCGCGTGCAATTTAAAACTCTGATTTTAGAATTTTTATTGGAGGAGGTCTACTCGACCCACATCCCCATTCTAGATCACTATATGCCCATATTCAATCCAACACTTAGTTCTTCCATAATGGCTCTATGGGAGCTCGAATTTTAATTACCACCGTGATGTTCAGATCTTGAGGCTTGTGTAACTTTAATTGGGCTACATGTTGGACGTCTTTGTTGTTGTAGGAAGACAACTGATTGATCATTAGTGCTTGTGGTGTAATATTGATCATACTTTTGGTTGAACCATATACTTCTAAGAGTAATTAGACTCATAAACTTCAATTAATTTCTATCTTTTATTGAGTCGATCACTGAGAATATATCGGGATAACTATGATATGTGATCATAACTTAGTATCGAGATAGGTGATAATGCTCATCTAAATTTGAATATATTCCTTGATGTATGAAATAGTGGAAACACATTGATGTGAAATAAATAAGGGACCATTTCATTTTAAAAAAATAGTTTAATGATTATGTTTTGATAATACAAAATAGTTTTACATTATCATCTAATAAATATTCGTCATTCAATATTACTAATTTGAAAATTACAATCTAATTTGGTGGTATACATGATAGTAATTAATTGACATATTTACACCGATGATATATATTCTATTTTCTCTTAAAAAAAATCCAATTGAAACTTTTAAAACTTAATAAAAGATATAATTAAACCTAAAAAATAAAACAACATATTTAATTTTATGAAAAATAAACTAAAGGATTTAACTAATGTAAAAGAAACAATATATAGAGAAATTAACTTGCCACCTCCATATTATATATAGCATCCTTCTAAATAGTATGAAAAGACCAAACTGTTTAGATACAAATCATTCATCACAGTTTCTAAATTCACGTTACTAATCAGATTTTTCAATTTTGTGGACAATATTTGAAATTTATTGGGCAATATCAGAAATTTCGCGAACAAGTGAGAATTTACAGTAGATTTATGAAATTTTTGGTATTTTATACCAAAAATTTCAAAATATCCAGTATTTTCGTACTGGAAATTTCAAAATATCTAGTATTTTCGTTTATCATTTATACCAGAAATTTTAAAATTTTCAGTTCGTCACTGAATATCGAAAATTTTGAAATTTTCGATAGTTCAATTTTTTCTACCATATTTTATTACTATCAGAAATTTCAATTAATTTAAAATTCCTGATACACCGAAAATTTTGAATACACTACCAAAAATTTACAATATCAAAAATTTTGTAGGAGTGTACCAGTAATTTCAATTATTCTATCACAAATTTCTTCTAAAAATTGTGTTCAACTCATTCAAAAATAAAAATAAAATAAAAAAAATTCGAGGAATATCATATATGATTTTAGGGGTGTCATGTTAAATTTTTCAATATATAAGCTAAAAATATTATTTCCGAAAGTTAATTTATTAATAAATTTTTAGTTATTTTTTATTTACAGTTTTTTACTCTATTCTTTTGTTTAGAGTTAAAAAAAGAAAATCATTAGGCATGTGTCACCGTTGGATGAAAGCGAGTATAGCAATGGACGGTGGATATGTTTTATAACAATGGTGGCGTTGGTGAATACTAAACAGAGGTCAATAAAACATTTGAGAGAGGTGTTGATTTCTGAAATCGAAGGTTATTTGTTTTGTTTTGTTTTGTTAAGTTTCAACGATGGGTGGTGTTCATGCTTTGAAGAGAATCCCTCGCATCAAGTTCCCCAACAGGCACCTAAAATCCTCTGGTTGGTTCCTTTCTATCTCTCTCTCGTCAATTTCCCTTTTATTTATAACCCTAGTTTGTTTTTTATATGCCGATTCTGTTCTCAATAGGCTTTGTACTGTTTATTTTGTTCAGATATTGCTTTTGATTATGCTTTCAGAATCATAGCTATATGAATACCCTAAATTGGACTCAGAATCCACTCAAATTTGATTGAAATACCCTAAATTACCTTTTAAACATTTTAAATTTCTGGGTTGATTTGCAATTCTTAAAATTTCATTGCAGGTTCTGCCTCTGAGGGTGAAGCTTTGTCTTCGACAGGCGATGCCAGTTTATCATTCTTTTCAAGTTCAAATGCTTCGGCAACATTAGGAGGAAAGGCCTCTCTTCAGCCCAAAAGAACCCCGGTCACCAATGAGGAGATTGATGCAGTTTTGGTATGTATATTCTCCTTGCCAGTTCTAGCCTTCTAGGTCTTTCACATTTTCTGATTACTCTTGTTAAGAGTCTCATCAACTTTTGATTAGATATGGCCTGAAAATTAGTTACTAAGTAAGAGACACCTATCACTCTACAAAGCCCAACGCAAATTCTAAGACGCTATTCAAAATCCGTTGGGCCACCCGATATCGGGTCACGCTCCAGATGTCTAGTCATGAGCGTGAGGGGTGCATTTAGTCTCACACTTGATAAGATGAGACTTAAAACTGAGTTTTTAAGTAGGAAAAGATCTACCACTCTTGTATTTACTAATTGAAACTTCTCAACGATTTGCAGTTGGGCGGCTGCTTCTAATCATTTGTTCTCAGATGAATCAAAGTTCACTTACAACGAATGGTTTCTTTTTCTTTTTGTATCATGAGTATTATGTTTAAACAGTTTATTGATTCAGTTGTATGAATAATGCAATACTGTCATCTATGTTATTACTTGCTATCCAATATACCTTGACAGAAGGTGCTGTAGTCTCTTGTTTGTATCTCTATTCTCCACTAACATTATTACCAAGAGTGGAAGAAAAATCATGTGTGCACTGACAATTAGGAGCATGAATGAATTAAGCACACTCACTCTTATTCCTTTTAATTCATTGATCATATTCGATATAATCATGAACAACTCAAAACACTAAACATAGTCCTATTCTACCCCTAACACAGTTTCAATGCATGTTTTCTAAACCAATTTCACCACCTTAACCACGAGTCATGTTTTATAACTAACATATTTTTAGAACTGTTTTCTCAACCGTTTTCACCACCTCAACCACCGGTTCAAAGTCCCGTTTCCAAGCCAACATTGTTTTGACAGATGTTATTTTAACCATTATCATCATCTCAACAACCAATCTTGTATTAGGATACTCAACCATTATCATCATCTCAGCAACCAATTTTGTATTTGGATCCTCATTCCTCGCATATTCCTACTCATAAACCTCGAGTTCGTGCTCGGAGGGAACAAAGTAAACATATTAATTTACCTTTTAAATAAACTATTAATTGCAAAGTTAAATCTTTTGATATATATATATATATATATATATATATATATATATATATATATATATATATATATATATATATATATATATATATATATATATATATATATATATATATATATATATATATATATATATATATATATATATATATATATATATATATATATATATATATATATATATATTAGAAAAATAGGTTAAATAATATATAAAAGGACTTTTTGTTTATGTAAAAAAAATAGATGAAATAGATTATTTGAAAGTCTTAATATGAAATAGACTTTCAAATAGGTTTTTAGGCTAGGTCATACTTTAAAAAAAATTATGTTTCAACTTTTGATAGCATTATTTATTTGTATTTTCTTTCAAAATGTAAATGGATTGTTGGTATTTATAAATCAACAACTTAAAAAAAATACTTTTAAAAATGTCAGGTCAAACAAAAAAAAGCCTATAATAAATCATAGTTAAGGTTTAGATGTTAAAAATTATCATAGGTCAGACTCAAGCCTTTTAAGGTCCGGCTTGACCTATTTTAGCCCCCAGTAACAAATAATATGGATGAATCATACACTATTTGATTGTGTGCATTATAATCAATAAAATTGTAAGTTCTCTATTTTTAGGATTGACATTAATTTTTGTAAAACAAATAAGACAACAATATGTTAGATAGGAGGTGTTAACTTGCTAACATGAACAAGTTGAGCAAGAAATCCTATCTTATGTTAGGACATGTTAAGTTGAAGTGTTTCAACATCTGAAATAACATGTCGGATAAGATGTCCTATGAAAGAGCATACGACACCGCGCCTGAGCTGAAGTGGATAGTTAGATTATATTATGATTTAACTTACGCAGAATATTGTGGGAATATTATGCAATCCTATGTGACACTGATTTAAAGGTCAAGAAGAATCAAATCGGAATATTAAAGATTATGCAGTTTATAAATATGGAGATTATTTAGGAAACTAATGATTGAAGACCTTGTTTGTAGCAAAAGTTACTGCTGAATGTAACAATCAAAGAGTTGTATTTTGAAGGCCCGAATCCAGTTGGGAATAGGTTATAAATAGAAGTGTTTGTAACCTAGGAAAGACACGGGTTCAAGATGTAGAAGTCTAGGGCTTTGTCTTTTTGCCGCTCTCTAGGAGAGTTGGTGTAAGTGAACCACTCGAATTGGGAGAGGGTTATTGTGTTCTCACTAAGAAACCTCTAGGTAGTGAGTTGAGTATTGTTCTTGGAGGAAGCTTTTAAGTAATTTCAAGTTGTGGTCTTAGTCAAGAGTCTTGACTAGAGATTATTGTAACACCCGAGGCCGGAGAGGGCGGAGGGTGGTTGCACCGCATGTGTAACACTCGAGGCCGAAGAGGCCTATGGGTGGTCGTCACATTGGAATGAGAGGTATCTTGAGGCTATGCAGGTATGAGACTGCACGGTTGAAGGAAGGCTTATAAGGATTAATTTGTAATACCTATACCAATAAGATGCATCTTCTTTTCGGTAGTCCGTTCAATAAGAACTCCACAGTTAAGCGTGCTTGACTTGAAGTAGTATTAGGATGGATGACCTTCTGGAAAGTTTCTTGGAAAGCGTGCAAGTTAGGCAAAAGCACGCTGAAAAGACTTGTGTTGGTTTGTGGGGTCAGTCGATAACCCTGAAAGTAGTCTGGGGCATTACAAATGGTATTAGAGTCAGACCTCTCCCAGTACGATGTTGTTCAAAGACGAACCATGCGGAAGCTGGTGGACATGTAACACCCAAGGCTGGAGAGGGCAGAGGGTGGTTGCACCGCATGTATAACACTCGAAGTCGAAGAGGGCTATGAGTGGTCACCACATCGGAATGAGAGGTATCCTGAGGCTATGCAGGTATGTGACTGCACGATTGAAAGAAGACTTATAAGGAATAATTTTTACTACCTATACCAACAAGATGCATCTTCTTTTCGGTAGCCTGTTTCATAAGAACTCCACAGTTAAGCGTGCTTGACTTGGAGTAGTATTAGGATGTGTGATCTTCTGGGAAACTTATCAGAAAGCGTGTGAGTGAGGCTAAAGCATACTGAAAATACTCGTGTTGGTTTGTGGGGTCAGTCGATAACCCTGAAAGTAGCCTGAGGCGTTATAAATGCTATCAGAGCCATACCTCTCCCAGTACGATGTGGTTCGAGGACGAACCATGCAGAAGCTGATGGGCATGTAACACCCGAGGGCGGAGAAGGCGGAGGGTGGTTGCACCGCATGTGTAACACTCGAGGACGAAGAGGGCTACGAGTGGTCGCCATATCGGAATGAGAGGTATCTTGAGACTATGCAGTTATGAGACTACATGGTTGAAGGAAGGCTTATAAGGATTAATTTGTACTACCTTTACAAACAAGATGCATCTTCTTTTCGGTAGTTCATTTCATAAGAACTCCACAGTTAAACATGCTTGACTTAGTAGTATTAAGATGGGTGACCTTCTGGAAAGTTTCTCGGAAAGCGTGCGAGTGAGGCCAAAGCATGCTGAAAAGACTCGTGTTGGTTTGTGGGGTCAGTCGATAACTCTGAAAGTAGCCTGGGGCGTTGCAAATTGTATCAGAGCCAGACCTCTCCCAGTACGATGTGGTTCGAGGACGAACCATGCAGAAGCTGGTGGGCATGTAACACCCGAGGACGGAGGGTGGTTGCATCTCATGTGTAACACTCGAGGCCGAAGAGGGCTATGAGTGGTCGCCACATTGAAATGAGAGGTATCTTGAGGCTATGTAGGTATAAGACTGCATGGTTGAAGGAAAGCTTATAAGGATTAATTTGTACTAGCTATACCAACAAGATGCATCTTCTTTTCGGTAGTCCGTTTCATAAGAACTCCACAGTTAAGCGTGCTTGATTTGGAGTAGTATTAGGATGGGTGACTGATCAGTGATCTTTTGTCGTACTTTCCAAGCAGGTTTTAGTGTCGTTTCTTGTGTTTTCATGAGTTTTCTTTTAATATTTTAATTATGTTTCAACAGTATTCTCTGATTAGGATAAGCAAGTCAGGTGTCCATGTTTTCATCATTTTTACCGTTGGTGCGTGTAATTTGGTTGTTGTTTCAAGGTGTTTCAGGTTTCTGTCTAGTTGGCTATCCGGCACCAATGCGAAAATGATCCAAATACAGAAGAAACGCACGGAAGCGAAGATTTCAGAAGCGTGACACGGGTGCCCGTGTCGTGTAACACGGCCCGTGTCGTGGCATCTGCAGCTGACAAAGACACAACAAACCAGCAACACAACACGGCCACCCGTGTTGTACAACACGGACCGTGTTGTGCCCCCTGAAGGCGTGGATTCCATTTATGTGAAGCAGCGACCTGACACGGTCACCCGTGTCCCACAACACGGCCCGTGTCAGGCATCCTGAGGCAAAATTTCTATTTTTTTTTTACACGCAGACTGGGACAAGTTGGAGGGCAGTTTGGACATTTCTTGGAATATTTGAGAATACTGTTATATTGGAGACTAGGGTTAGGAACCAGAGGAAGGAATTTTTGGGAGAAGTAACATATTGGAGAAAAGCTTAGAGTGGTGATTCAAGGAGAAGAAGGATCGATCAAGAGCGGAAGCAATCGACGATCCAACCTATCCAAATCCTATTGTAATGAATTTTCTTCTTGATCTTGTTTTCATGATTATTATGAACATGAGTAGCTAAACCTCCCAATGTCAGGGAGGTGTCCCTGAATTGCTTTGTAATGACTAATTGATGTTTTGTAATGACTAATTGATGTTTAAACCTTATTCTTTATTGTGTGCAACGTTTTTAATGCTTAATCTGCTTGGAAGAAATGATTATTGATCGTAATTAGGGTTGGCCTGATCAGCAATCCTAACCCTGTTGCATCACTTTTATCATAGTCGATATTCCTAAGGAATTAGAATACCCTGTGAATACCCCTTTTTTTTATGTCTGAACTAGAGCTTGATATTCTCTCTTGGCAGCTGAGGAATTAGGGCAAAGAGAGAATACCAAAGGTTTTTCTTAAAAGGAATTGCGGAAAAATAACTTTAGGCATAGGGAAAGAAAAGGTGAAACATAGATTTTTCTAATAACGAAACAAGTTGGTCATTGTATCGCGATTCATACACCGTCATGGCATTATTCTCATCGTAACATATAATCTTCTCGTAAATTTAGTTTTCATAGTATTGTAGTTCAAAACAAACAATCAACCATTGCTTTTGTTCAATTGATATTCATTCGAACAAACTTAATTTCACTGTGCAGTCCTCAAGAGATCGACTTTGGGGTTTTTCC